AAATCTTGATCTCTTGAAAATGATTTTGGAGTTTAACTATAAAGAAATATGTATGTGAAAATATTAAGGAAATATCTGGAAAAAAGAATAAAGAGGGAGAATTTTCTCTGTAGTCACTAAGGTACGTATTTTAGTTGTAATTATTAAAAATAATTATGAGAACAGAAAAGAAAGACAAATAAAAAAGAATAAAGTTTGGTTTGTTTTGGTTTTGCAGTCCTGGGGTGAAATAAATTTTTGAAAATGAATCCAAGTAGATAAGAATATTTAGACTATTATTCCTTTACCTTTGTAATCAGTAGACTGAATTCCACATAGAAATTATTAACTGCTCTAGAAATGCAGTTGGAGCAACTGGCTATTTACACAAAACAAAATAAAATTAACATTCATATTTAAATTCCATTAGATTAAAGAGTAGAGGTAAGAGTGAAGCCATGTGGGGCTGTCATGGTGGTGCATGTCTGTAACTCCAGCACTTGGGAGGCAGGAGGATTGCTGTGGGTTAGAAGCCAGCCTTGGGGGCTGGGGATTTAACTCAGCAGCACAGTGCCTGCCTGGCAAGCGCAAGGTCGTGAGTTCGGTTCCCGGTACCGGAGAAAAAAACCAAAAAAAAAAAAAAAAAAAAAAAGAAGCCAGCCTTGGCTACGTAGTGGGTTCAAGGCCAGCCTGAACCACATAGTGAGACCTTGTCTCAACACACCCACACACACACACACAGAGCCATGCAAAAACAAGAACAGCATGCAGGTGGACATTTTCATAATCATGCTGTGAGAAGCACTTTGTAAATATGACCCCAGAAATGGGCCCTTCATAGTGGCTCAGCGTTAGAGGACACTGCCGGCTTCCCAAAGTACACTTGTTACAATTTAAGAGTCCAGCAGGCAGCTAGAGGGTTCTGATTGCTCCCCGTTTTCGCCAGGGGCTGATTTTGCCATTTTTGGTTTGTTTGCTTTGTTTTGTACATTCTGGTAGTTGAAAGGTCGTCTCTCAATGTGACGTTAATTTGGATGCCACTGCTGTTTATGTTAAAGTTGTGGAGACGGGAGGCACCAGCTGAGAAAGCTCTGTCTAAGCAACTGTGGCTGTTTACTCACTCCCAGAGGAGCAGGCCGGTCCACAGAGGAGAATCAGCAGGAAGCAGGGTAGAACAAAGGACTTAAAGGGATGGGGAGGAATTTGATGCCTGGAGGAGTTTGGGGTGGGGAGATAGGACGGTTGCGCGTCTCTGAATGAATCTGCGGAGTACATGCAAGTGAAGTCACGTTTCTTGGGATGGTGGTGCAGATAGACAGGGCTTCGTTTTTCTTATGTGGTTTCCCGCCATGCCCACCATGAGGGGATGGCCTCATCTGTCCAGCATGACATTCCTGTCTCTTTGTTGTTAGACAGACAAAAAGAAGGGGCAATGGGTGCTGTTTCTCGTGGCTTCTCCATGCAGGACATGTGGGCAATGCAGACACCTAAAGTGGGAGAGAGTTCTTGGGGGACAGGAGGTGGTCTGTGAGGTTAGTAAGACGCAGACCTGGGGAGGGGCTGGAGTGGCCCTATAGGCAGCAGCAAATGTGAGATATAAAGCCAATAATCTTGGCTAAGGGAGGACTAGACCAGTTTAGCTGGGAGTGAGGTAATTTCAGGGTCTTGTAGAGATACGCAGGGACCATGGTAGGAATGCCACCATGGGATTTGGCGAAAGGAACAGGAGAGCTAGTGGACAAGAGGGTGCAGAGAGGAGGAGAATTGGACCCCAGCTGGGGAGAAGTCCCACAGATTCTCCCGAAAAAGATCTTTATCCACGTGAGGAATGACTTGAAGGTGGCGGCCTGAGGATGGGACCGAGAAAGATTAAGGTGGACCGAGTAAGGAGAGCGTGTGAAGAGGCAGCACAGGCAAGGGGCAGGGCACTGGGGATTTGGGTCAGCCTGAGGGAAGAAGGGGAGATGACTTGCAATTTTCAGAAGGAGTCGGGCGAGTTATCAACAAGACACAGTTTCACCCAGGAGCGATGCGCCCGCTGGGGAGGGCCTCACGGACAGACCACCACTAGGGTGCTGTGGATAACTAAGAAGGGTCCTTTCTACTTAGGCTGTAGGCCCCAGGGCATTAAATCTTTAATTAGGACCAATTTATTAGGCCATCTTTATAAGGCTGCGTGTCAGGAGAAGACAGGAGAAGGTTAGCAGCATGTCATAGCTCTTTCTGGGCCTGTTGCGGAACTGGGAGATAGTCTTCAATGGGGCTGTCTCCGGGCTGAGGTTTGACCCAAGCAGAAAGGTGCGGCCATATAAAAGCTCCAGTGCACTGTACCCTGTAGGTTCTCAAGAGTGGCTCGGACTTGAAGGAGAGTGATTGGGAGCAGGGAAATACAGTCTTTGAGGAGCTGGAGCATGAGCTTAGTGAAGGGGACCTGAGAAGGCTTATTTCTATCCTTTTGAGGCCAGTAGGGGGTGTGGAGATTTTATTGGACAAGAGAGTTGGACATCCGGGTAATTTGACTAATGAAAGCTGGGCCATTGTCTGACTGAATAGAGGTTGGGAGGCCAAATCAGGAGATAATATTGACTAGAAGGGAGTTGATAATGGCTGAGGCCTTTTCTGAGCCAGTGGGGAAGGGCTCTATCCCTTCAGTGCTGGGGACCAGACTATGTAAGGGTTAAGTTGCTGACCAGGAAGGGACCTCTGGCTGTGTTGGCAAAGCTCATATTCACAGTGCTCTGAAGTCAAGATAACACCACAGCTGAGGCAGCCGAGAACAGGGGCTATTCCAGAGCAATAAAGCTGCCAACCTGGGAGTCAAACAGTTCTCTTAATTGGCAAGATTTACTGCCTTTGTTTCTCTGGTGATTTTCATGGACTTTTGCCTCCAGTGTTCCCTCCTTTTCCTGCACTCCCTGAATCAATGAAAAGCTAATAAATAGGGATCTAGAAAACCTGTGGTCTTTACTCCATAGAGTTTTGACCTTCCTGGACTTCTGAGCAATCATACTATCCGTCTCTTTTTATTTAAGCCTTCACTGCACTCTTGGTGTAGAAGATTGGGGACGGGGCCAAGTCCCTGATAATAAAGGTATCCACCCAGACCCAGGAGCTATCTTAACTTTTGCACCCACTGCACGTGAGTGAAATCAATTTGCCAGTCCTGAGTTGGGGAAAAGCCTCACTCTTGATGTGTAGGAAAAGGAGGGTGAGAGTTAGGAGGTGGCATCTGGTTAGCAGGAGGCTCTGGGGAAGGGGAGGGGCAGCTGTGGTGGCTGCAGCAGGAGGCCTTGCAGGGGGCTGCCGGGGGTGCAAGATCAGATGGATCTGTCATCAGGGAGAAGCTGGCATCGGAGCGAGTGCGGGCAGAAAGGAAGACAGGAGGATTTGAGAGCAGTCACAGGAGGAGCACAGGCTGGGAAGGTTACGGAGTGTGAAGAATGTCTGGACGTAAGGGATCTCAGATGATCCGGGTTTTTGAGGAGATAAGCTACGAGGAAGGATGGGAGAACAGAAGAAGGAAAGTTTACCATGGAGAGCAGAGAGAGGTAACTGTCATACTCCATGGGTCAAAATGAGAGGGGCAACAAGGTCCACAATGGACATCTCCAGCTGGGACTCAGGGATGTAACAGAGTGTGTGTGAGTGGCCAAGGTGGGTGTCCCTGAAGTTAGCCAAACACCAAAGGAAGACAGTTTTTCTCAGAGAGCATATCCATGAGCAGCTCTGGGTTTAAATGGCATGGAAAGTAGGGTGAGCCTCTCTGTGCCAATGGACAAAAGGTGGAAAGCCAGAGCAGCAGAGAGAAAGTGTGAGAGGTGGGAGGGAGACACAATTCCCTCAAGATCATGGGATGAGTAGAGGGTGAGTGGGGTATGTCTAGCGATTTTTAAATTCTGAAAAGATGAGTCAGGAAAAGTCTTGTGATCTAAGGGCTCAGTAGGATCTCCCATTATGAGTTTGTGGAGTGGTTTAGTGCAGAGAGCAAAGTTGGGAACCCAGAGGTGGAAAGAAGTATCCTATTACACATGGAAAGGAGAGGAGTTGTTTGGTGGTGGGGGTTAGGCACCTTGGGTGTATGATTGATAGCACAGAGAACTTGTACCAGCCTGTAAGAGCCATCTGCCTTTTGTACCAGGAGAATGGGAGTGTTGTAAAGGGAGTGGATGGGAATTAAGAGACTGTTTCATGACAGGTGAGAAATAGTAGGCTGTAGTTCCCATAAAGCTGGGTTAGGGATGGGTATTGTCACTGGGCAGGGTAGGGATGGTAAGTGGTTGTTGGAATTGCAACAGCAAACAGAAACACCAAAATGACACCCAAGAATTGGGGGAAGATTTATTTTATGTCGGTGGGCACTGACAGGTATCAATCCTTATAAAAATGTCAGGCCTTGATCTCTGATGGTCTAGGTCTCATATGGGATGAGCAAGCAGGAAGTACAGAGGCAGAATGGCTTGTCAACTGGGGATTGGTTCTTACAATATGCATGACAGTGACCAGCTATGCATCATAATGACCAGCTGTTTGTAAGAAACAGAAGTAACAGGAACTGTAGCAGGAACTGTTACCTTGGCAACTGAAGTATACTGGCTGTGGGGGCGGGGGATATTTTCTGCTACAGAATGAAGCCAGGGATGGGGTGGAATTGTCCCAGACTGTGGGGCTGGGATAAGGGTGAACAATGGGAGCCACAGTGGGGGGACAGGGAGGGAGTCATTGGGCTATAAGCATTGGTTGGTCCTGGGGGTGATCAGAGTAGCTGACCACTTGGTTAAGATGTGTTACCCTAAAAAGGAAATGGGACAGGTAGGCATGACTAAAAATGAGTGTGGGAGATGTTGACCCACTTGGTGCCAGACTGGGGAAGTTAAGGTTCTGGCAACTTTAATGTCAATGACCACAATAGTAATTGGGGCCAAGGAGGTTGGTCTTTGTAAGGAAGGCAATGTGGAGTGGCATGTGCCTGTATCAGTTAAAAATGGGATGGACTTATTCCCCCACTGTAAGAGTTACCTAGAGTTCAGCATTCGAGATGTTCCAGGAGGCCTCCACAGCCTTTGGGTAAGTTCAGTCTTCCACAGCCAAGGCAAGAAGGTCCGGGAAGCAGGCGGGTGAGGGTCACTGGAGACCTCCAGCATAAGTTATAATTGATTTGAGCTGGAACAGTCATGTTTAAGGAAGGAAGCATTGGTAGCAAGACTAATAATCAAATCTAAACCATTGTGTTTTTTTAATTTTTTGAGAGAGAATATGAAAATATCAAAAAGCAAGTTGGAAAGAGTCGGAGCACTTTTTACCCTATGAAAGAGATCCCCTCCAGAGAGAGACTGAAGCAAATAAAGGCCTGGAGGAATTCTACTCTGGAACCTAGGGTGAAGAAGCCTTCAAGACATCTGTGTTATCTACCTAATCATCTAGGCAACCCCTTTAGCGGCAAGACAAGGCTACATTTTGTTTAAAGTCTGATCTAAAATGTCTGTCTCTGTGACCTCTGTAAGCTCACAGGATGAACTTATACTCATCGCCTGCAGCCATGATTTAGAAGTCAGTAAAGACACATCCATCAGTTTTCACATGCACATGAAAGAAGAGAAAGGTTGAACTGACAAAAAGGGTCCCATGATTTATTAATAGGCATGTATATTTTTTCAGTGTACACTGGATTTAATAGAAAGACCCATTTTACAGCATTTTCTAAATTTATCCTGTAGTTAATATCAAAGTTCACCAGATGGTGTTTTTAAAGTGTGTCTAAATCCAGCCTATATAAAGCTAGAATATAAGGGCTTGCTTGCAAAAGTAAAATGTGGAGGTCATCCCTTGGGGAGTATGTAGGCCTGGTCCTTTTGCTGTTATCTTGAGGCCTCGCCTCCAGCTGATGTGTTTCTGGCCATAGTTGTGGTGTGTTTTTACCTTTTGTCTTGACTTTCTGGAGGGCCCAGTCCTACCTGACTGCCTATAATATTTTACCTAACTTAGCTGTCTATAATATTCCCTCTTCTGCTGTGAGGGGGTAGGAGGTAATGACAATTCTGGCTGCTTCAGGCTGAATGGGGTTGTAGTTGTGATTGGCAGTCAGAGATACTCTCCAGAGGGTCTATCTAAAGGCCCTTGATAGACATCAGATGTTCTCATCTTAGGTAGGCGTATGGTTTTAAGTCTGAAATTCTTTTTTTTTTTTTTTTTTTTTTTTGTATGAGGAATCAAACTCAGGACCTTGTGCTTGCCAGGGAGGAACATGTGCCACTGAGCTATATCCCCAGCCCCCATGGTTTTAAGTCTGAAGGAGACAAGGCCAAAGAAGCAGTTAAGTAAGCATGGGCCAAATAATAAAATCAACAAAGCTATTATGAATATAACCAAAAAATATTTCTACCAGGAAGAGCCAGTAATAGCTTCCCACAAAGAGGGTAAGGAGAAGGTCCAGAGAGTTTTAGAATCTGAATAGTTGTTGAGATAAAGGTACATACAGCATTCAGCTTTTATAACTGTACTAGTATTCCCTTGTGCTGCTGTCAGGGCATCTAATGTTATCTGAGTTTGCAGGACAGCTTGCCTTATTAATTTTATTTTTATTTAGGAGCACACAAGAGAAACCAGTCAAGCTGTACTGTATAGTTAATAACTGCTACTTTCGAGGGCACATAGACAATGACAAAAGTTTATCATTTTTGATTATACTTTTCTGCTGGATTTTTTTTTTGTTTTGTTTTTAAAATTAAGTATGTTTATTGGTATATAAACCAATAAACCACTTTAGGTATACATAATGATCACATTCATCATATGGAATTTGTACCTGTACATGACAGAACTTGATTCTTTTTTCCCCATTCCTCTACCCTCCCTTCAACTCTTCTTTCCTTCCTTAATTACAAAAGCTTTGTTTCCATATTTTCATTGTTTTCTCATCAATTTTTTCTTTTCCCTTCCTTCCTGTTCCCCTCCCCCATCCTTAGTTCCCCTTCCCAGTTGAACATTTTCTTCCTATTTTACAATATCTATTATTCATTTTGGTCCTTATTAACACTTTTGGTTTCTCACACCAGAGGAACAATGCAGTATTCACCAATGAGTGTCCTGTTTATTTCACTTCAGAGTATGTCCTGAGTGTGCATCCATTTAGCTAGAAATGTCTCAGGCTTATCCTTCTTTATGACAGAGTAGGGAAAAAAACCCACATGTTCTTTATCTGTTCATCAGTTGATGGGCATTAGGGCTGTTTCTAAGATTTAGCTATTATAAGCTGTAACGTGACCATGTATATATTGCTGTGGTATAATGCTTTTAATACTTTCAGGAAGATATTAGGAAGAGGAATACCTGGCTCAAATGGAACCTGTAGTCATAGGTTTTGAGGAAACTCCACACTGATTTCCACTCGTGGTTACACCAATCTACACCCCCACCACTGTGGAGAAGTGTTCCTTTGTCCCCACAGCCCCACACCATCTGCTGGGTTTTTAAGACCAAGTTAAAATGAGACCTGTATTAATTAAAATCGACCTCTTGCTGCCATTCAAGGTCAGGTAAGCCTCTTTAAGCATTACTCTTGGAGCCATGCACAGAGCCTCTCAGTGCCAGCTGCCAGAATGAGTCACAGTCTTGCTTCACCATTTTTCTTTCTATGAAAGCATTAGAGACTTTTTTCTCTTGTTGACCCTTCCTTGGCACACTGTACATTTGTTGATCTCTGTCCTATGGGGCCCAACAATCTCCCTGCTCAGGGGATTGGGTGACTCACCAAAGTTGTAGGCTCCTGTAGAAAAGGTTTTCTCATGTACTGGGTCTCTGCTGACCTTGGAGGGCCAGGGCCAAAATATTGGCTGTTTTTTAGCCTGGTTATCTCTAGTTCTGGTCCCTGAACTTTAGTTGTTGAATACCCAGAAGAGATCAGTTATATCAATCTTAGCAGAGGTGAATCACAAGTGTAAATTGCTTTTTGATAGCCATAGTCCCCTGTTAAAGGCAAAAAGTTGTTGTAAGCTTTATTAATTTAACATTCTGAAGGGAAGGGCAGTCTTCAATCAAGGGGTTTAGTTAACTTTTGGTGAGTTGGAGAAAAACTAGGGTTTTAAGAATCTGAAGAGAAAGAGCTCAGATGCTGGCTGACCTAAAAGAGGACTAACAGAGAAAAACATGGATTTGGAAACTGTAGTCCAGATCAGGTGTGTGGTAGAGTGGCGAGGTAGGGATTGGGAGAGCGTATGTTGGAGGCTAGAGGAGCAGCATGCACCCTGGGCACCCAAGCCACCTGGCCTGCACCTGTGGTGCTATGAGGAACAACAGGCCTTCATAAGGTGGCCCTAGGTGGTCTTGGGCTGGGTGCAGATCAGCTTGTTTGCGGAGCCAGACAGCCACAGTGTGATGGCAGCTGGGAGGTTGGGGGCAGCACAGCATGGGCTGGCTGGGGGGCAGCATGGCTGGGGATGCAGCAGAGGCCCAGTCAGAGGTGCAGCCCATTGCACACTGGGGTCTGGCAGTGCAGGTGGGGGGAGGAGAGCCAGGCCCATGTTTTCCTTACCTAGGCTGGGATCGGCATGCTTGTGTAGAGGGAGGGCTGTGCACACAGGTGTTGAGGGTGGCTTCCAGGCACTGGATAGTAGGCTGTGTGTGCAGGTGCTGGGGTCCCACTATGTGCACAAGTGCCAGTTGGACCTTGGCCTCCATGGCCGTACTCTGTGCCTGCTATGCTGTGTCAATGTGAGAACCATGAGCTGGCTCAATGTAGAGCAGGTTGGGCATGCTGGGTGCTGGTACTGGGTGCTAGGTCCATATGGCCTGGGACCCTGTCTTGGTAACTTTTCGCTTGCTGCTGAGACAAAGTACCCAATGCCCAAAATTAAAGAAGGAAAGATTTATTTAGCTTACAGTTTGTGGAGGTTTCAGTCCATACTTGGTTGGCTCCAAGGCAGAAGATAGCAAAGCAACAAGAGCAAAGAGGGGAATGGCTGCCGAATAGCAAAGCAGCCAGAGCAAAAGGGAGGAATGGCAGCAAGTAGCCTCTTCCTCTCCCTTACATATGCAAACTATCCACCCCAGGGCGGGTGTAGCTCTCACATCCATAATCAATCAAACTCTAAATGCCTGCCCCATGATGGCATGAAGCTTTGTGGGGACACCCAGACACAAACCATAACAGACCCCCAGCCCAGAGCTGGCACACAGGCAGGGCAGCTGGAGCTTGGTGGTCCAAGGCTAGGCCCCAGGGGTGTGCCCCAAGGCAAATGGTGGTGGTGGGGAGGAGGGAGTTGGGTGAGGGAAAAATTGAGAGCCAGCATCTGCACAACACCTGGGCTCACACTGGGCTCCGCACACCCCCTTACCCCCATGAGATAGAGGCCATGGCAGGTAGAGAGGAGGGAGACAAAGGGAAAAGTCTTAAAGGCACAAAGTCTTACCTGATCTGAAGTTGGCACGTAGTGTCTGGGGCACAGTCTGAGAAGCCAAAGTTACAGGGTGACCTCTTTAAGATACCAGGGGCTTGAGATAGGTCTTGAAGTCCCTCTCAAGAGAGCTACCCTATCCTGGGTTTCGGCACCATATCTGTTAAAGGTGCAGAGGGGAGAAAGAGCAGATGAAAAAGCTCTGTATGAGCAACCTTGGCTGTTTATTCACTCCTGTGGGAGTGGGCTGAGTTCACAGAGTGGAATCAGCAGGAAGTGAGAGTAGAACAAAGAATTTAAAGACAAGGGGAGGAGTTTGCTACCTCAAGGAATCTGGGGCAGAGGAAGTGTGATTGTGCTTTTCCAAACGGGTGGGACAGATGCAAGAGTGGTCACTTTTCTTGGGATGGGCAGTGCACACAGACATGGTGTTGCTTTTCTGTGGTTTCCTTCCACATCTGCTGGTAGTGGCAGCACTTCTTGGTTGTGACAATGTTTAATAATGTCAGGTACATCTTGTGCTTATGAATATGCATACACCTCTGACCCAGCAATTTCATTTCTAGGACTTTGCCATGAAAAAATATATATCACAAACAAAATAGTGAGTACTTGCATATTGGCTCCTTCATGCTCTGACATATAGTCAGCACAATTAATATTTTAGTGGTGGTTAACCCTAGTAACAGAACACCAGGAAATTTTTGTTTTGGGAGGGTTATCTCTCCCTCCCTCCTGTTTTTTTTTTTTTTAAATCTCATTGTATAGCTCAGGCTGGCCTTGAGCTCATGGTCCTCCTGCCTCAGCCTCCCAACTATAGAGATTATAAATTATGTCATGTGCCCAGTTTTCAGGTGATTTTCAGTATGTTCTTAGTTTTTACTTGGTGAATTATTTTTATAACTAGCATATATTACTTATATTTGGAAGAGACAGCAAGAAATGCTTCAATTTTATTTTGGAACAAATAGAAGTAAAAATATAATCTCAAAATATACGGGCATTGTGGTACATGCTGGTAATTTCAGCCCTTGGGAGGCTGAGGCAGGAGGATTGCTGTGAGTTCAAGGTCAGCCTAGTTCAAGGCCAACTTGAATTACAGAGTGAAGCCCTGTCTCAAAACAATAGCAAAAAAAAGAAAGAAAAAAATTCAAGTAACTTAACCAAATGTTAAAATTCAATCATAAACAATGTTATTTGGGGTCAAGGAATTTTCTACCTGAAATGCAAGAAACATGTACACTCACTGCCCCTCTCTCTTCCATTCCTGTCTTTAAAAACAATCAGGGCTCCTTGCAGGAACTGCTGAGTCCAGGGCCACACTGGGAATGCACAAGACAAGCTAGAAACACAGGAAGTTTTTGATGCCCAGAAAGTAAGACTGTAAGCAGGGATGGGGGTGTCAGCAAGACACATGCTAGGGTGAAGGACAGCTGCTGGCCATGTCTGGGATAATTTTTTTTTAGCTAAAAATACATTAAAACAGCAAAGGAGGAATCCTTAATCCTTGGTATACCCTTGCCACACATAAATTGGACCCTATCAGGTCTGCTAATAGATCTTAATTTGTGGTAATACTAGACAGATAAATAAAGGGAAGAGAATAAGAGAGGGATGGAGTTGAAAAGTCACTGTTTTGCAGTTTTCACAGTAAAAACGGTTTAGACAGGAAACAGCAATGTCTGCGGAATCTGGAGAGATGAAGAATGGTGAGGGGCAGGATGTTTACTCAGTCCCGAGTGTCTGTCTGCAGTGACCTCCCGGCAGAGACACCTGGCAGTGCCCCAGCGTGATCACCTGTCCAGCGTCTGCTCCTGATAGGATACCAAGAATGTGGGGTCACTTTGCTCATCATCTCCCAGCAGTCAAACACCTGGTAAGTCATGAGGAAAGACAGGACAAGCCCAGCTGAAGAGCATTGTACAAAGTAACTGACTTGAGTTTTTAAACATATTAATGTCCTGAAACAGAAAGGCTGAAGAACTGTTCCAGATTAAATATTTTTTTTTTCCAGCACTGGGAATTGAACCCAGGGTCTTTGCAGTTAGATACATTTCCAGCCCCCCTTATTTATTATTTATTTATGTATTTTTTTATTTTTAAGAGTAAAAGAAGGATAACATAGTAATATGGGGGGCTTACCAAATTATAGACAAAGTAGTAGGAAGTTATCAGTGGTTATTGTTTTATATATTGTTATCTATAAGATAGTTTCTCAGGAAAACAAATAGACAAATAATAGTGAGTTACAGACAAAAGAGGTAGGAGATTATCAGTAGTTGTACTATACTTTGGTATCTTCAAAGTGGCTTCTAAAGAAAAAAAATAGAGCTATACATGAGTAACCAATTGAATAATCATTATTCTCAATGGTTGTTGTAGGAAACACATAATAATAAACACACATCCATTTACAAAATAGCATAGCAACAATACAAACATTACAGAGTTATGGACAGATTAGTAGGAAAATATCAATGGCTGCTGTAATACAAGGTGGTATCTTCAAAGTGGTTTCTCAGGAAGACAGAGATACGCAAGAAGGATCTAACAAGTTACAGCCTAAGGGTTGTGAAAAATAGCATATTACCTCCTCACCAGTGACTCCTTTCAATAAGGTGTGATGGCTGGAAGAAGGCCAGGATTGAAAGGAAGGACTGAGAGACTTGCACCTGTGTTTAGCAACAGGCTATTTTCTTTTTCCTCCATAGTCATGATTACCTGGGGCTCCTCCATGGAGATGATAGTCTGGCCAGAGGGAGAAGGCAGAGTATGCCCTGGGCCCCCTCATTCCTGTTAGACTAACTGGTAGGATGGGTCTGAGCTCTGGGGCCTCTGCTTCAGAGGGCAGACCCATCTCCAGTGGTCTCCTTTGCATTCAGGGCATGGCCCAGGAGCTTCTTAGGGCAGTTCCTCTTGAGGTGGCCTGGCTTCTAACAGAGGTAGCAGATGAATGCAGTCATTGAGTTCTTCTTGGGGCCCCAAGAATCATACTTAGGGTCTGTTTCTCTTAGTGCTGCAGCAAAAGCAGCTGCTTTTTCTCTGTCTCTTTGTTTTCTCTTCTTGGCCTCCTCCTTGTCACAGCTATAGAATACTGAGGAGGCAATTCTTACTAACATCTCAAGTGAGCCATCTGGGGCAAAAGCCATTTTTTGTAGCTTTTTCTCTCCAGCCTCCCAGCGCATTGGGACCCTGCAACCACTTAGTGTCCTCTCCCCAACCATCAGCACAGGCAGCAGGAATCTTGCTGCAGACCTCTCTGGAGCTCCACATGCTCCTCCACCATAGCCTGTACTGTCAGGGGAAGAATGGCTTCCAGGGGGTCTCCCCAGGTATTGCACAAGGTCCTCCTGGTTTCCAGCTTCCGAATGACTCTCATGATGCCAGTCCACTAGACCTCTGACTCTTTGGGCTTAGTCTGTATTCTCATGTTCTCCGAGTCCTTGTTTAGCAGCTGCTCCTCTGCTGACTCTGAACCTTTCTGGTTCTCAACGGCAGGGGCAAGACGACCCATTGTGTGGCATGTATTCCCAGGGTTTTCTCCATGTCAGAATGATTCACGCACGTCTGTGGGCGGGCCTCTGCAGCCAACACGTGGTGGGCCAATTGCGTCATTGCTTCTCAGTGCCATGATAGTTCTGAATTGCACGGCGGCGGCTGGGGGCTGGCCCAAAGGCCAGTGCACCCCACCATGCAGCTTCCCAGGCACCAGGGGCCCTCCTCTCAGGCACCTGTGTGGCTGGGGGCTGACCCCTGTTTATTTATTTTTTATTTATTTATTTAAAGACAGATTAGTGCTAAGTCAATAAATTGCCCAGGTTGGGTTTGAATTTTCCAATTCTCCTGCCTCAGCCTCCCAGAGTGCCAGGATAACAGACTGTTGCCACCACACCTGGCCAGATTAAAGAAACTGGGTGACTTAATGCATATGTGATGCTTGGCTGAGGCTCACAAGAGAGGAGGACATGCTACCGTAGGGGACTTTGCTGGTTTAATTGACAGAATTGGATTATGGATTAGAGAACAGAAAACAGGATCAAAGTCAAATTTCCTGATTTGACAACTGCATTTTGGTTACATAAGAAAATATACTTGTTCATAAGAACTACAGACTGAAGTATTAAGAATATAACCAGTCAGGGTATAAGATGGTCCCTCAAAGAGGAGATAGAGACCTCAACTCACCTCAAAGGCAGATTTGTCAACTCTCATCCCAGAAAAGCTTTCAGAATGCACAGTGGAGGCATAGGAAGGTTTACTTGGCAGAGTTAGAAAATAAGAGAAAATAGGGATGTGACTTCAGCTTGAGGAGCCAAAGGGGCACGATGAAAAGCATCAGGCTGACCTTTCATAAAAGAACAAGACTGGATTTTATGGATTCACTGGGGTGAGCTGGAGTCTGGCTGTTCATTATTTCAGTTCTGGTTTGCAAGATGACACCAGAAATCCATTCAACTGTGGGGACAATTCAGTCTCCCAGGTCTCTGTCTTAGTTATTTTCTCTCATTGCTGAGACAAAATACCCGACACCCAAAGTTAAAAGGGGGAAGGTTTATTTAGCTCACAGTTTGTAGAGATTTTGGTCCATAATTGGCTGGGTCCGAGGCAGGGTGGCATAACAGTTCTTGGCAGTGGAAGACAGCAAAAGCAACAATGGAGGGAGAGAGAGAGCAGTAAGTCTGTTTCTGTCCCTTATACTGTCTGCAGGCTACTCACCCTAGGGTGGATATAGCACTCACACCTTTAATCTCAGCATTGGACCATGAATCACTCACAAACTCTAGATTCAGCCACCCCCTACCCCATGACTGCATGAGGCTTTAGGGGGACATCTAGACACAAACCATAACAGTCTCCATTGATAATTCTAGCTCTCTGTTCTTTTCTTTTTTTTCTTTCTTTCTTAGCTCTTGGGATTAAATCCAGGGCTTTTGCACTTAGCTGTATCCCCAGCCCTTTTTGGTTTTGTTTTTTTTTTTTTGGTTTTTCCCCGGTACCGGGAACCGAACTCACGACCTTGTGCTTGCCAGGCAGGCACTTTGCCGCTGAGCTAAATCCCCAGCCCCCCCCAGCCCTTTTTAAATTTATCTTTTTTGTTTTGAGATGAGGCCTTGCTAAATTGCTTAGCTGCCAGGCAACTAAGGCTCAGACTCATGATCC